CTTGCCAGGCATTACCTCTTTTGACCATGATGTGGTCCCTGGAACAACGAAATGACATGTGGCTTACTAACTTAAATGACTTTTTCCTTTCTTTGGATGAGTACAACTAAGCTTTTTAAATACCAAAATCTAATGTGCCCAATATTCTTTAGCAATCTAAAAACAATACATATGATTATATATTTCACTTATATCAGTATAAGTGGAGATACATAAAGATTTGTAACTTCAGCTAGAAGATGGGCTCTGAGGGACTTTGTGATGTTTTATACTCACTGGAAAAAAAGTGAATTGAAAATATACTAATAAACTCAGGACAGTGAAGGACATGGTTTAAATTTTATGTTTAATTTATTTAATGTCTGATTATGTTAATTAAATACCCACTTATCAGCTTAATGATACTGAATGTAGATCCTTATTAACTTATGATTTTAAAGGCCAGTGAAGTTGTCAAATCTAATGAAAACAGAATTCAAAGATAAAATTCTATCTTCCCTTTCTTTTATGAGCCTCTTAAAAATGCAGGGCACCTTTTTCAAAGCCCTCAGAAGAGATTAACCTTTAACATCATCATTTACATCTAATGCTATCACATTTTTCAATGTCATTGTCACCACTTTTGGCCTTAGAGAGATGATTTTGTTAACCATATTATAAAACTACTGAAATTCCCTTTTTCCAGCTGTACTAGAGGAAGAGTCTACCACTTTCGTCTCTTTTTTCCCTCTGGTACAGTGCTTTACAGTAGAACTTTCTGTGATGATGGAAATGGTCTGTATCTGCTGTGGTCAGCACAGTAGCCACGAGTCATATGTGACACATTGAGCATTTAAAATGTGGCTAGTGCAGCCAATGAACCGAATTTCAAATTTTATCAACTTGACTTAGCCTAAGTTTAAATAGTCACATGCTGCCAGTAGACACCACATCAGGAGACAGCTTTGTCTTTCTATTCAGTGCAGACTGAATTCCTAGGACTTGACTCTTTTTTCCTGGTAGGTCTTAATTCCCTTCTGGGAACAGGAATAATCCTCTTTTAATGTTGCCTATTTTTCTTGAATTAATTAAGGTATTCTCTTTTATTACTGCCTAATTTATAATACGTGAGGTTTACCACAAACCAAAAAGAAATGACATCTGTAGTAAAATGTGAGGTTTAATTCTGTGCAGTCCTCACACAATAGGAAGTACTATGTCTTTGTCTCCTGTTAACATGGGTCGTTGTATTCTTTGGTCAACCTACTTTCCAAATGTATCTTTACTTGTCTACAGATATATCAGGGCCATTCATCTCTGCCTTCTTGAGTGTTACCTATGATGAGAGTAGAGTGTAAAAGGGCTTGGACTTTGTATGCCAAATTCTCACCACTGCTTCCTAAGGAAGTCCCCACTTCTCTGATCCACAGTTCTTCCTGAAGCTGTTATCAGGTTTCCTACCTTGGAAGTATGTTTGTTCACTTGACTCTCTCCTTTCTTGACCCTAGAGCTTTGATAGCATGGCTTTCTGTTTCTGAAACATACCTGAGAACAGAGTGGGCACTCCAAAAATATATGTACTGAATACATGAAAAACTCTTTCAACAAATGCCCTTCCCCACTCGCTCATCACTCACACCAGTTTTATGTCTGTCCACTGGAGAAGGAATAATAACTTGTTTGAAGATACAGTTTCTTTGAAAAGTGGAAACTGTTGTGATTTAAAACAGATATTAGTTATAATTCCCTTTGTAGATCTATTTCTACTCTATGTAAATAATGAAGTACTATTTTTATGGATCATTATCTTCTAACAAGATTATGCACTGTATTTTTTATAAGTATTCACTTAAATATAGTTTAATGGATATATGTATATAAATATCCATTGATTTGGGTACATCAAGTACCCAAAGGATAAACTGCAAGCAGGGAAGTTAATAAAAGTCAATTATTTAAAAATGTGAGTTCCCACAGATACGTGTGAGATAAAGCAATGTTTAAAGTAAAGATTCTGAAATCATGATTGATGACCTGTTATCTGTCGTCTCGAGAGGTTTACATTTTAAAATGTTTATAGTAACATTCAGAAAGTCCAACACAAATTTAAGGTTTCTTCTTACAAAGCATTCAATCCACTGCCCATGAAAAGGCTTTTATCTTTGAAGATGAAAGAATTAAAATGCAACTGGAACACGGAAGGCTCCTACAGAAGCACACATTTATTTGGGCATATGGTAGTAATCTACCAAACATGAAGGTAGAATCTATTGGAAAATAACCAGAATAGATTTACCAGGCGAAGATTCTACCAGATGAGTTTGCTTTTAACTATGGGAAGGTTAAAGATGTAGAGAAGCACATCCCCCAATATTTTCCTTTTTATTTCAAAGCCACGTTGGCATCTCTTTTAAAAAGTATTGCCTTCATATTTATAGATGGTGCTTCAGGTGCTGAATGCCATGAAGTTTGACGATCAATTCCATTATTTCTGTGTAGTCAGAAGAGTTAATTGCATTGGAAAAGACATTTCTGCAYTCTTCAGTATACGTGTGAAATTGGATTTCAAAGGAATACAATGTGTGGCTTAGTTATTGATTAATGAGTTAAACTACAGGTACTGAAGACACAGGATCAAATGTTGAGTAATAGGTCCAGGTATGTGCATAAGTGATTTTGCACATAGCGACACTCGAGCACTTCTTGATTGACCAAGAACCTCTGATTTCTGGCTGTATTTTGTATTTAAAAATATAGGAAAGAAATTGCAGTATCTCAGTTCCATAGCAAAGTGGTTTAAAATGACAGAGAGAATTTTCAATTAATGTAATTGAAATTTTTTAATTGTGCTCTGTGACAAGTGAAATTATTGTTTACCAGGGAAAGGTAATTACATATTTGGCTTAAAATTGATCAATAGAAACATAGAAAAGCTGGAGCTCAAGCAGAATCAGGACCTTGTTAAAGCACAATTTTGTAAAATGTGATCAGTAATGGCACCTGTGGAACAAACAGAAATGATAATATATACAAGAAAATAAAATAAATTTCTGATCATACAAATTTTAGGGAATTATAAAATGCTTTGAACTTCTTTCTGTATCACAAAATTATTTCTTATTTCATACCTACCCTCTTTGAATGAGATTTTAGAGTTTGAGTAGTTTGCTTTATAGTCACGAGCTGCCAGTGGAGTGGCACTGTGAATAGATGGCACAATAACTGGCCTTCTGTGTGTATTGTATATGAGTGCCAGTGCTGGTTTGTGGTATTTTAAAAGAAATGCAGGGCTTCAATTTCTTCTTTTAGCTAAGCATATTGGTTGGTTGACTAAAGTTATTATTTTATGAATTAGAGATGAACAAGATATACTAGACAAGTCAGATTTCTATTTGTTCTTCTGAAAACATTATGAACTTTTTAGCCAAGACTTATGATGTTGTTGTTTATCTGTTTATCATGTCATGTGATCAATGAGGGTATATTTGTTTGAATTAACTGTAGCAGAGCTGTTAGCATTGAGAAAGAGGCTCAGGAAGATCAAATGTGCAAAAAAAGAAATCATGGAGAGGTTTGCTAGACAGTAGTATCTGTTCCTGGTTGGCTGGTTCCATATCACTAAGGAAAAGAGCCGATTTCTGGAGGTGGGGACCATAGTGTGAATGTCTTGACATTCAGAGTTTCATATGAGAGGATATGCAGCATGGCCAACAGTGGTTTCTCGTAGCCGGGGTTGTCCCATGTGAGTTGTCATGGGCTTCAGTCTTTGTAAGCCGTTGTGTAAGAAGGCTACATCTGTGTTTAATCAGCCTTGCCCCTCTAACCTGAAAGACCATAGACAATCAAGGTAATTCCATTTCTTTAGATTAGTCTTTGGGTCCACATACATGGTTGTCCACTGGGGTAATGCATGACTGAGGAAAGCCCCATTCCTTGAGTCTCTGGAGTCTCTTTTGACTGATCCATATTTTCAAATCCAACCCACCTGTAGGTTTGAGGCTGCCTATGTGGACTTTCTCTAGAGCCCTAACAAGAGCAGGATGGAATTTGTGATTCTGCACTTYGATTCTCAAGAGCTTTTGCTCATACTTAAACATGATCCACAAAAACATATATTAGTGGTTATGAAGTTCTTAAAGATCTGAGGGTGCAATTCCATGCTAAAAATAAAAATTATTATTGAAACAAAGATATCACCTTTAAAAATATAAATTACTATAATAATGATTATTGCCCAGTTCTTTTTATGCAAATATCCATTTGTCAGTGGACATCAATCAGACTTAAGTGAAATGGTATCCTGGCCAAGCAATGCTTTATTGTTGTCCAATAATTTGAGCTCAATTTTGATAATGTTCAGCTTTCAGTATTTTGTTTGGTTGTAAGAGATGTCAAGGCAGTACTGGTATTATTTCCCAAAGATTAGTCATTTTGGGGGGGTTTGGTTTTTTACTTTTGAAAAGAAAAATGTTATGTAAATATTCAGATAGTACAAGTGTGTGTGTGTGTTTCTGTATAAATGATTGGTGTTTACTTTGTTTTCAGTGGTATCCACATTTGGTCTGTACCTCTGTAAACATTTTATATGCATATAATTATCTTCCTCCTTCCATATATATATATATATATATATATATATATATATAGAGAGAGAGAGAGAGAGAGAGAGAGAGAGAGAGAGAGAGAGATTTGTCTGTGCATATATACTATAAATATATTCTAGCTAAACTACCAACACTTGGTCTCTAATTTTGCATTATGTCACAAACATCCTTCCTGAAAGCCTCACATTCTTGTCTCTATGGTGTGAAGGTATATGTCTTAAATTTTGGTTAAGATTAACAACATATTCTTTAGAGATTTTAGCTGATTCAAAGTAACTATTTCTTACAGGAAATACTTTTTTCTACAAATGAACAGCTGTTGGTCATATAAGATTATTAGGCTAAAGGAAGGTTTATAATTTTGTGAATTATATAATCCAAACTGCTAAATGTGGTCAGTATTCTCTCTCTCCACAGGGCCCATTTGGAGGCCAGTGCCGAGAAGTGGAACAGGTTGCTGGCGTCTTTAGAAGAACTGATCAAATGGCTGAATATGAAAGATGAAGAGCTTAGAAAACAGATGCCTCTTGGAGGGGATGTTCCAGCCTTACAGCTCCAATATGACCACTGTAAAGTAAGTTGAACCCTTATGGCAGTAGTGTGTGTGTGTGTGTGTGTGTGTGTGTGTGTGTGTGTGTGTGTGTTTTAAGTGTAGTGAAGTAAATACTTCATAAATCTAGAAAAATGTAAAAGTTGAACTGATTTTCACGGGTTTTACCCCCTTCTGCTTCTAATTGTCAGTACTTAGGCATTTTATTTAAACTGCATTCATTGCCTACATTTGTTTCACATTAAGTTGTCTCTTCACGTTTAACTAAAATTTTTTCAACGGTGCATGTATTGGAATGGGGTGTAGCCTAGAATGTGTGAGGACTGTCTTTGATCCCCAGAACCACCCCCCCCCCACCACACACACACATGGTACAGGTGTCTAAAGCATATTGCTTTTAGCATCTCATGAAATGTATTTAACTTTCTAATATATTCTGGAATGGTAATGTAGTATGTTGGGAACATTTTAAACTACATGCTCATCTTAAATTCAGCAGTTATGTAATCATAAAGAATTACAAACTAGGTCTGGGAGTGAGCTCCATGATAGAGAACCTACCTAACTACAGACAAAAAGAGTCACAGACGGTTTCATTGATGTGAAATGAAAGTGAAAAAATAAAGACTTGCAGTAAATCAATAGGATAGATCTAAGTTTTGCTGTTGTTGTGGGGGTTCCGGGGACCAAACCAGGGCCACTCCCATGGTAGGAAAGAACTCTACTTCTGAGCCATGTTTCCAGCCTATAGAATTAAATTTTAAAACAAGTAAAGACCATAATAGTTAATATTATGTTATATGCTTTATTTTCTGAATTTAGACATTTCTTTCAATTACATTTTTATTTTTCTCAAAGGACTATTTCTATTTATACTTTTACTCTGGTTAGAACTGATAGACTATCTTCAGCTGACACATGGTTAGATCCTTGAATTTTAAAAACTTCTTCACCATGTCTAGGTTCTATTAATATATTTAATATCCTTTACATTATTTTCTCACATATTGCATATCACCCTATTTTATTGTATTTTTTATTATTCACATACAGTACAAATTCACATTCTAAATCTGTACATTTTAATGTGACATTAGATTCTGTTCCCAGCTGAAAAATGATAAACGCAAACACTTTCTTCTTTTCAAGGAAGATAACATCTATTTAATAAGTTGCTATACTACAAATGACATGACCTTGAAATTTATTTTATTTTGAATTCTTGTGACTAAGTGATTAAAATTACTATTTGAGTATTTTTTCTCCTACTTGAAAAGAGAATATGATAGAGAAATAGCTCTAAGATAAGAGAAAGGAAGATATTGTTGGCATATGATATACAAAATAATAATAGAAGATTTAAAATTACTGATTTWAGAAAATCACATTTTCTCCTTTCTTTTTTTTTATCTTTCTCCTCTATTAATTATTCATATTCCTTTTTTGTGGGCTCAGGTATTAGTGATGAAATAGAATAATACAGAACTCTCTGTATAGCAATGCTCTGCATGGAATAAAAGCTGCTTATGATCATGTGCTAGCTTTGATTAAGAACCAAATTTTAAGGTAGGGAATGATTTTCCTCAGATAGCCTTGGCCTTAGCACATAAAGTGCATGTCAGCCTTCCCAGTCAGTTCTGGCTGTTTGTTATCTCCGTCTCCTGGCGAGGCTGCCTGGCTTTGCATTGTATTTCACTCTATTTTGTAGCACTGCATGCACTTCCTGTGCTTCAAGCTCTTAGCCTCTCATTTAAGTAGTAAAGATAATCATGATAATGATGTTGGCTCATTTATTCTTCAGTTATTTTTTGAGTACCTCATATGCACCAGGCACTATTCTAGTCACTGGTGGTCTCACCTGATTCTGAGTAAGAGAGAAGTACTGGACCAATAGGCAATAAGATGTCATATGTCCTATAGTAATAACTGCTATGGAAAAAAATAAAAGGATGTTATGGGGAGAGAGGAAGATAGGAGATTATAGCAGAGGTGATTTTTATGTGGAGTAGGTCAGGAAAATGCCACAACTGGTGTGGTCTTTGAACAGAGGCAGAGATAAGTGAGGTAGTGATCAGTTCTGCTCTCTGGGGCAGATGAAGCACAAAGGCCATAGAGGCATCGATGTTCAGGGCAAAGGTGAGGAACAGCATGGAGAGCAGGTGGTTGAAGCCATTGAGCCAAATGAAGAGGCAAAGTAGGAGATGAGCAGGTGGGAGGAAGGGGTGCAGATCACATAGGTTCTCCCAAGTTCTTTAAAGGACTTTAGCTTTTACTCTGAGATGGGAAGCCATGGAAGGTTTTGTATTGATAGTGATGTGATCTGATTTACATTATGTAAAATTAGATGTTGAAATATGAAGAATAGACTAGAGAGGAGTGCAGTAATCATGCGGGGATGTTGTGACTTGGGTGAGAGTAACTGGTTTCTGAACACATTCGGAAAGAACCAATAGAATTTCTTGGTGGGTGGAATATATGGGATGGGAGAGAAAGAGTCAAAGGTATCAGGAGACAAAGGTTTCTGGACAACTGGAAAATGGATCGCCATTTAGATGGGGAGGGGGAATTGCTGTAGAAACCTGGAGAAAAGAATTTGTTTTTTGACATGTTAAGTGTAAGGTGTTAATTAGGAGGTTGTTTATACAAACCTGGAGTTGAGGGAAAAGTCAGGACTAGAGCCAAACTTGTTACCACGTATCAGCCATAGGATTGGTTGAGATCACTTAGGGAGTGATTATAGTTAGAAAAATGAATTATAAAGAAAGGTCCCTGAGGAACCCCAGCTTTAGACATTGAGAAGATGAGGAGACTGAGAAGGAGAGCCAAGAGAGAAGAGACTCTAGGCCTCCAAAGGAAGAGCTATGTTATGAAGGAGACTATGGATACAAGGGTCAAGTATTTTTGAGAAATGAATCGTATAAGGACAGAACATTATCCATCCAAGGACAGACTTGTGGATCTCAAATGAGAGTCATTTCAGTGGCATGATGCATTTGGAAGTGTGATTGGAGTGGATTCCAGAGAGAATATGAACAGAAGTACAGAAAACCATTTTAAGAACTTTTACAAGAAAGATACCAAGARCTGGAGCCTTAGAGGGAGATCCAATGTGGGTTGGAGTGATGTCTTTACAGGCTGAAGAATGATTCAGCATCTTGCGTGCTCCTGGGGACGATCCTACAGGAGGGAAAAAGCCAGTGACACAGAAGAGAGAGTCTGCTGTAAAACAGTGACAGGATGGGTCCAGTGTACCAGTGGCTCAGCTGGCCTTGTAAGAGGGCAAAGCACTTATCCTTTTAACAGGAGAGTGTGGAATAGAGGGGTGGATAATAATAGGTTGGTGGATTTGGGTGTGGGAACATTTAGATGTTCTCAATGAAATAAGAAGCAAGAGTATCCACTAAATTTGAGAAGGAAGGAGATGTGGAGGTTAGAGGAGAGAAGAGATAAAAATTCAGTCCAGAAGTAGGTAGATTAACAAACTAGCAATTTCTAGCAAAACTGCAAGACAACATTAAGGGCTGGCTTGAGGTCAGYGATGGATTAAAAGTGAGAACAATTAGTGTGAATGGTTTTCTTCACCCATGTTTAGTTGCTCCAGTGAAAGTGGGGAATTCCCCAGAAAGTTGAATATAGCCAAGCAGAGGTGATGAGGAGAGGGCAAGGGAGAAAAAGGAGTATAAAGGAGTTGCAGTAATGATGGAACATGGACTCAACTTTGGGAAAAGGGAGGTATGACATACGAGAGAGGTGAGGGTCAGGAGTAAGGTGATAGAAGTCAATGAGTTGGAGCCACCAGAGGGGCTTGGGTAATTGTTTGAGTTGGGAGACTGGGGGAGGAAACTGTAAGGAGAGCAAGTGGTAGGTAAAGAAGACATCTCAAAAATCAAGTTCATGGAGGGGTGAATTTTCTGCTACTGACATTATTCAATGTCTTTTTGTGTAAGTGAGTTGTAGGGACAGGTTAGGGAACAGGGTCCTTGGAGGAGAGCCAGTCAAGAGTTGAGATGCCAGGCTAGTGGGAAGATCATCTACTGGGTAAAGAACCACCATATGACCCAGCCATCTCACTCCTTGATCTATATCCAAAGGACTTAAAATCAGCATACTATRGTAATGCAGCCACATCAATGTTCATGGCAGCTCAATTCATAATAGCTAAACTGTGGAAGCAACCTAGATGCCCTTCAATAGATGAATGGATAAAGAAACTGTGTTATATATACACAATGGAATGTTATTCAGCATTAAAAGAGAATAAAATCATGGCATTTACAGGTAAAGGGATGGAGTTGGAGAATATCATGCTAAGTTAAGTAAGCCAGTTCCCCCAAACCAAAGGCCAGATGTTCTCTCTGATAAGTGGATGCTGATCCACAATGGGGAGGGGTGGGGAGCATGGGAAAAGTAGTGGAACTTTGGGCAAAGCGGAGGGAGGGCRGGGAGGGTGCATGGGGGCAGGAAAGATGGTGGAATGGAATGCGAAGGAATCATTACCCTAGGTACATGTATAATTACACATAGGTTGTGATGCTACATCGTGTATAGCCAGAGAAATGAAAAGTTGTGCTGCAGTTGTGTATAGTGACTCAAAATGCATTCTGCTATCATATATAACTAATTRAAATGAATAAATAAAAATAAAATAAAGCTTCAAGTCAAAAAGAAAGAAAGAAAGAAATTCTCTGAGCAGGAGGGAGAGCCAGATACCAAAATGATAATCATGAGAAGGAAGAGTCCTGGTAGTATGTTTCAGGAGTCTAACCTAGAAATGGTGTTTTCAGTTTTCATTTGGATTATATTTTATTGAACTGCTTCTATTTGCCAGCACCATTCTGAGCACTAGGAACATATTCTCGTGGTTTTGTTTTTGTCTTTATTTATTTCTGTCCCCTCTTTTTTGCTCACCAATGTCACTTTCCTGGCTTAATTGATGGAAAAAAATTGAAAACATCTTTCTTACACTATATTTTTCTTTAGGGGCTTTCTGAAAATGGCAAAAAAAGAGYATTAAAATATTATTC